GGTTAGGGACACCCCACTAAATAAACATACATAAAAAAAATAACATAAATAAATAAAAATAGGAGTAGATAAAATTTAAAAGAGATAAGGTTCTCCTCCCCCTTACCTCGAAATGCACACGTCTCAGACTTTTATCTTCTTACGCTGTGATTTTTTCTATTTTCTCTCGTTCTCTCTTCTCTTTTGATTTTATTGCTGTTGCTGCGTGCCTAATTTTTACTGTAACGGAGGCCTATTTATAGAGAAGGAAGACTTACTGAATTCACGGATTTGAGATGAAATTTTTATCACGGATTTGAGGTACAATTTTTTTTTATCCCCGTAATGATTTTTTTTCACATCTGATCAGTAAATTTTTGCCACGAATGTATATTCTCTGCTGTGCTATTTTCACGTAATTGCTTACGTCTAAGCCTCTTAAATGTTTTGCCACATTGCACATTCACCTTGCTGCACATTGCACCTGCACCTAAAACTTTATCATAACAATCGTGCGTACAGGCTTAATATCCTAGTAATTATCATTTTTTTTTTACACCCATACGTATTGTTTATCTATATATATATATTTATTTATTAATCTTACTGAACATAAAATAAAACATTATTTATTTATACTAATTAATTTAATTATTTATTTAATATATATGTAATTATAATATTATAAAATTCTATAACATATAAATTAAGAATATTGTATCTCAAATTTGGAATATTACACAAAGCTCACAAAGTGATAATAACAAATCATCATCACTGCCTAAACCAAGAAATTATTAGGTACCACTTTACTTTGTAAGAAACCTTCTTTCTCTTTATGATTTGATTTTTTCTACTCAATTGTTCAAATATATTTACGTTGCTAATAAGTCTTTTTTTTTTGTTATGACATTTTTTCTATCTCATTTCAGTTATCATTTGTTGTTTTATTGTCTATTGTTGGTGTTACCCTTAGTTCCAACTCTTACCAAATACTAAGTATATTACTAAGAATTATGTTGACTTATTACTACTTTATAATTTGTTGTAGAAGCTGTAAATTGAATGAGTAAACTTGTTTAATTTTGAATTTTGTACTCATAAATGTTGATATCTTTGATAGTATAGAGGATGATTTAGATACAATGGAAATTTTGCCTAGCACAAAGAGAGAGCTTACCGTTGTTTCATAATAGTATATAGTATTAATTAATCATGTTATATATATTTTTATTATCAAAATAGATTTATTTTTTGATGAAAACCTACTTTCCAAGGATCACTTTGGAAGAGATAAGTCCAAAAAGGGTAAAGATTGATAAAGTTGGCTTAAAGAATTGTAAAACATTTACTATTATTTTATAGGTTATCCTATCTTTGGAGGCCTACCCTACCTTAGAGGGATCCTATCGTTATTATACATTTTTCTTACTTGTAATTCATTTTAGTAGTGATTGTATAAGGATGTTTTTGGTCTTGTATTTTGACCATAGTTTGTAGGGTATAGGACCTTGATTTTTAGGGTCCTGGTTTCTTGAGTCTTGTATTTTGGCTATTGTCTTGTTTTATGTTGCCTATAGGTTAGGGGTTTCATATAGCATTTGAAAAAGGTTTGTTTAGCATTTATAAAAGTGCTTAGTGGGCTGCACATGGGCTTCCACATTACTAGGTTGCATGGTTGTTACTTTGCATCCTAGTGTAGCCTAGCCTTTCCCACTTGTCACACCTATTATATGCTTCCCTCCTTTTTCATTTGTGTTGAGTTTGAACAGAATTTGAGTTTCATTCTCCCTATTTTGGACGTGACTTTATGGGGGCGGGAAAGAGAATTCAAATTCAAAATCCAACTCACATGGAGTTAAACTAAGCTAACCAAGGTTATTTCTAACCTTAGTTAGCCTAGCTTGTTTCACAGACTACCCTACCTTATATATGGCCATATAGATGTGTAGTTCACGCACTTTTTGAGTATATATAGATTTTGAGTAAAAAATTACTCCCTCAAAGAGTCTCCAAGAATTCTTATGTTAAAAAACTTTTAAAACTCTTATCAAGTGATTCATCACTTATGGTGAGTTCTTTGTTCGATTTATCTTCTTCATATTGAAGGAGTGACACCATTTCTAGCATTTTTCTTCATCATTGTTCGGTCAACTTCCATTGGAGGAGAAGGAGTGAAGGTGATGTTTGGATCTAGGAGAATGAGAGCTTAAAAGACTACATCAACTCATTTTCTCAAGAATATTATTTTTAATGTATTTTTTTAATTAGGCTAATTTGGCCTGATGGCTCGACATGGGTAAAAAAATGCAGTCCAAAAAAATATTGGTCAGGTCAACCTAACTTAAAATAACATTTGGTTCATGTAGATTAGGTTAGGTCAAGCCAGGCTAGCCTATTTAACACCTCTAGTTGGGGTATCTCATGCCTACGATATTTAGTGCATAACAAATCTAAAAAATAGCTTTACAATCTCAAAGGTTAGGATGTTATAATTCTCTTCTCCTTTTAGGAATTTTATCCCCAAAATTTAGTTAGAGATCTTAGCTTTTGAGATGGGGTCTTTGCCAAACAACAAATCTCAAATCATTTGATTAGATAAGTTACAATTTCTGCGATATTTCTCTATTGTCCTTAATTTTTACAATTAAGTCATACTATTTATATGATATATCTCTAATTTAACATATAGTGATATATTATAGTATATGATTATTAGTTCATCTCAATGATGAGAATATTTATCACTTTAAACATTGCGTAAATTATTTGAAGTTCCTTAAGTTCTATATTTTTTAATTTTACACTTTTACATACAAATATGATTTATTGATTATGTCAATTCCACCCATTCCTTTTAAAAAATATATATAAACATTTATATTGGATTTATTACATCCTAATCTAATTAACTAATTCTTTTCAAAGATTAAAATAATGTTATATAGTGACCAAAGGACGTTATACTTATCATCTACCAAAAAAAAAATAGCCTAAAAAAGAGAAGCTAGCTCGTGCTTTAGAAAGGATTAAAGAATATTTTGTGGCATACTAATACTCTCTATTTTTTTCCGATAGTCGTTTAAGGTATTTGTACGAGACTTAAAAAAATGATTAATATTTTAGTTTTCAAAAATATTTATTACTTACTTTCTTGTTATACCCTTTATTATTATTATTTTTGCATTCAAGTCTTGACTGTTGATTTGTATACACTTATTATTGTTATGCACTTTTTGAGAAGTCCATGAATTAATGCATTGATTATTAGAATACACATGTGAACTGTAACATACTCCATTTAATTACACTTTTAAGTAAATTGTGTCTTTTGGATATCCTAATTCTTGAATGAATATTGTGGAAAGAAAATAATTCATGAATGAATAATATTGTTGAAAATATATTACCCTCATAAATGCAACATTAACTTCATATAGGTAGTTGAAGAAGAAATAGATAATACATTAGAAATAAACATATTATTTAGTAAATATACATTAATTATCAAGAATAAAATAAAATAAAAATTAATAAATCGTTAATTTTAAAAAAAGTGACAATAAAAAAAATATTGTTAAAACGACTATAAAAAAAATAGAAAAAATATTGTTACGTACCCCTTGCGAATTTTGCGACGAAGATTGTCATTATTGCCGTGTGAATGCAACACAAGTTTCCATAAAAATTATACTTTTTAAAAGTGAATGTAATACAAGTTCCCATAAAACTATAAACAAATGTTTTGTATCATTATATAAACACAATAATCTATAATTAACATTATCTATTATTTTAAGATAACAAAAGAATAAAAAGATTATTAAAATAAGACCAAGTAACTACTAATTCATATAAGTAAAAAGCCATCTATAATTTATATATGTATCAGCAATTCCATTAAATTAATATTTAAATTATAAAAACCTAAGAGTCCATTTTAAAATATAGGAATTAAAGTTAACATTATATATAGAAATTAAAAATATGATAAAAGTTGAAATATTTTTGCTATAAATAATTTCAATTTAAAATAAAATTATAGTAAAAGACATTTATTAAAATTAAAAAGTGCTTATTAGCATGGAAAGACTTATTTTATACTTCACAAATTTCTCATGTTTTCCTCCCTTAAAGAATTTTTACATTTTAATATGTCCTTCCATCAAAGAAAAAATAATTTCCACTTTTAACAATCTTATCTTCTCTCATATTTAATTGTTAATTTTTTTTCACAATTCCCATTTTTTACGCACACTTTACTTCGTGTCTCACTCACTAAACTTACACGTGCTAAAGTCACATAAACTAATAAAAGTCTCCCATTTCACCCTTCTCTCAATTTAATCTTTCTTTCTAAAGTACTTTTTTTTTTTGTTTCACTTTTATAAAAATCTCAATGGCACATTACAACAACTAAGAGCATGTTTGGTTTATTGTTGAATTTCGTTAAATAGAATAAACACACATTCTAAAGCACCAAATTAAGAAATAATATTTTTTATCTTTCTCGTTGGACGTGATTTTGTGAATTTTGAATGATAAACCAAACACACACTAAGCATGTGTTTGCATCCGCGTTTTAACGTAGTTTTTCACGTTCATCTTAAAATGATGAATAGTTGCTTCTACGTAAATCTGTATATTAACGTGGAGAGAAACGATACAATTACGTTTCAAAATGAAAAGCAAACACACGTTAAGTGTGTTTGTATAATTGATGGCGTGCATTCCAAAGTAACGGAAAAGCACGAGTCTTTATACTTTAAAATGAAGTCACATTTAATTGTACCAAACGAAAAAACAAACACACCCTAGCTGGTATTCACATCTCTCAAACAATGAAGGTAGACACAGGTGGCCAGAGTGATTTCATAATGGAGGGTCAAGGTTAGCAAGGGGGTTGATTATGATTTTGAAATTTTGTGACCTTTCAAAATTAGAAATTATTGAGTTTAAGATTTGAAAAAGGTGTAGATTTTGTGATCTTTTTATGAATCTTCTTCTGCTTTCTATATTTTGGTTAAATTATTAGGTTAAAAATGGTGTTTTAGGTAATTGAAATCTAATTGAGCGTTCTATCGGCGCGTCTTAGTTTTATTGTGGCCGCTACTCTGTTTTGTTGCAGTTGTTACACATAATTTATGCTCTTAAGATTATAGTGATCTAAAATGGTATTGCCACCCTCCAATGTTGGGATATTGCATACTATATGTCTGATACGCAACTATTTTTAAAACCTTGCCAAAATAGTATTAGTTGTTAATTTCTTTTGCACTTTGTGGTCTCATTTTTTTTATGGCTATCATGGATGATTCCATTCCTTTTATCATTGTCCCATTTGATGACCCAAGATGTGTCCTTGTTTCGCACCTTTTGTGCAACAATAATTACAATTCTTTGGAAAAAAAAACTCATGAAAATGGCTCTTCTAGGCAAAAACAAATTTGGTTTTGTCAATGGATTTGACCTAGATCCTTCTTCATATTTACCCAATTTTTTGGCAACATAATAACATCATTGTTGCATCATGGATCTTGAACTCTTTATCCAAACAAAAGCAAGCAAGCGTGCAATTTGAGTGACCTACAGAATTGTTTTGAGTGACAAAATGGTCTCCTCCTATATCAGCTCAAGTGTTATCTTGCGGCACTACAGCAAGGTACCATCTTGGTTAGCAACTACTATACCTACCTTCACTCATATTGGGAATCTACTATTGAAATCAAGCCTGTACATTCATGCAATTGTGGTGGCATCTATTCTTGGTTTGATTTCAATCGGATGGAGTATAGTATACATTTTTTGATGACTCCAAATGAATATTTTCCTTTATTCAGGGAAAAATTCTTACAATGGATCTAATTCTTCCCATCAACAAGGTTTTTCTCTTGTTCTCCAAGATGAGAAACAACGAGAAATTGGGGATTTTGTTGTTCCTATGATTTCCCCTAATGAGAATCCTCTTACTTTTGTTATTAAAGCTCAATCCATTTCTAAACCTAAGGTCTCGAAAAGGAATAATCTTTTGTGTGATTATTGTGTAATCTTGAGTCATTCGTAGGAAAAATGCTATAGACTACATGGTTTTCCACCCAATTACAAGAAGTCATCTTCTTGTAATGTTAAGGTTGTTAATCAAGCTTTAGTTGAATCATCTACTCCTCAATTCCAACTCAAAGCTCAGCAATATAGTTAATTAATGAACCTCTTATCAAGCATCAAATGCAACAATACCTATTAGTGAATTCTCAATCACTATAGTTTTTATTAATTTTTCTTTTCTTCATTTTCCAAATATTTGTTGAATTGTTGATTCTAGTGCAAGAGCTCATGTAACATGTAAACCCTTTTTATTCACCTCTTATCAATCTATTTCTAGTAAGTATATCACTTAGCCCGATAAAAAAAAAATTTCAATGACTATTGTCGGAACCATTAAATTATCATCTGATTTGGTTCTATACAATGTGATGTATGTTCCACAATTTACCTTCAATTTTCTATCTGTTAGTGCCCTTATAAATGATCCTTCCAAATATATTTCTTTTATTCCCCTAAACTCTTTGTTTGTTAGAAGATGCCATACTCCAAGAGGATTGACAAGGATGAGCTCATTAAAGGCCTCTATGTTTTGTCTAACAAGGATTCAGTCTTGCCTTCTATTTATTTTTTTTCCAAAAAATTGGTTTTATCCAACTATAATTCTTTCAAGAATGTTGATTCTTTACATTGTAATGCCAATATTTGGCACTCTAGAGGTTTGGGCACATTTTTGATAAGATTCTTAAAATCTTGAGTAAAAAAACTCATTTTTTTTGTCTAGTGATTTCTCGTCTACTTCATGCCAAATTTGTCCTCTTGTTAAATTAGAAGATTATATTTTATATCTAATAACCATTTCCTTCCATTCTACCTCTGTATATGTCACATTTCCTGAGTCTTTAAACTCTAAACCCTAAACCATATGACACTTACCCATATCAAAAATCATTTTAGAACCACCTCCAATTATTGCTCAAGTACAATTAGGACTTGTTCCTTCCTCAATTTCCTTACCTCACCTCACTGTACTTATACTTCTTTAGTACCTTAAACTCACCAACTCCACCCTATAGTCCCATACGAACATAGCAAACCACATAGAAATACCAGTCCTCCATTTTACCTAACTAAGTGTGTCTTTTCCCAATATACTAGCCAATATCCTATCATTAATTTTTGCTCCTTGACCAATTTGTCTACCTCATACCCTATTTATGTCAATCAAGTATCTTCCACATTTGAAACCCAACTTTTCAATAAGTCATGAAATTTCTTGAGTGGCGTACAATTATGATTGTTGAGATTCAAGCCTTAGAGTACAATAGTATATGGTCATTCATACCACTCCCTTTTTCCAAATTGTGCAAATGTGTAGGTGGTTGTACAAGGTAAAATTCAAGAGCGATGACACTACTGATAGATATAAGGCTCGTACGATAGCCAAAGGCTATACTTAACAAGCTGGCATTAATTTTTCTTATACTTTTTTTCCATGGCTAAGTTAACTTCGACCAAAGTCTTTCTTACTATTACACTAGCCACAAATTGGCACCTAATACAATTAGATGTCAATAATGTTTTTCTTAATGGTGAGTTATTTAAGGAAATGTACGTGAAGTTATCCCTAGGATACAGAGCAAATAATAACAAGTTTTTTTTCAAATTAAATAAGTCACTTTACAACCTATGATGAGCTTCTTGTTAATGGTTTTGCAAGTTTTAGTTGTTTTTCTTAATCATGGATTCATCTAATCTAGGAATGATTATTCCTTTTTACATCAATTTTGGGGAACCCTCTTGTGATTTTGTTGGTTTAAGTTGATGATATTATACTTGTTAGGTCATCTCTTGAGAGAATTATGAGGTACAACTTTTACTTCAGACTTTGCTTAAGTTAAAAAGTGTTGAGCAACTTGAAATGCTTCTAAATGTATTTCATTATCCGAACAAAAATACACTTAGGCTTTGATTGAAGATACTAGTTCTCTAGATTGCAATCCTATGAGTTTACCTATGGATTCAAATATGAAACTCACAACTTTTGATAGCGAACTTTTACCAGGCCCTTCACTTTATCTCAGAATGGTTGGAAAACAAATGTATTTGACAATTTATAGTCCAAATATTAGTTTCATTGTTCTTGAGTCAATACATGTAACAACCTGACATTCATCACTTACATGTGGTCCATCTCTCATTGAAATACCTCAAAGCCACTTTTGGTCAAGGATTATTTTTTCCTATTTTTTAATCCTCTTAACTTGACTGCCTATGTCAATTTTGGTTGGGTAGTTGTTAGGACACTAGATGTTCCACCTCCAGATGTTTTGTGTTTCTTGACAATGCATTGATCTTTTGGAAGTTTAAGAAATATCCTACAGTGTCCAAATCTTTTTTTTTGGAAGAATATATATTTCTTTCCTCTATTTCAAGTGAATTAGTTTGGCTTAAAAGACTTATTCTCCATTTTGAAGTTCCCATTGAGTCTTCCATAATATTCTATGACAATCTATCAGTCAATAACTTGGTATTAAACCTGACTTATAATAAAAATCAAAACATATGTATTTTAATTATCAATTCATTCAAGAAATTTCAATTATATCAAGTTGATTCATATCAAAAGCCATCATTAATTAGTTGTTCTCTTCGCTAATGCACTGGCACTTCTTTTTTCTACATTTATTCATGAGTTGGGAATCTTAACTATCTACTCTCCATCTTTAAGGGGTATTTGAGATATCCAATTAATTATTAGAAATACTTAATTATTGTGTTTTAAGTATTTTATTACTATTGTATATTTTCTTATGTTTTACAGATTGATAAAGTTCTATATATATTAGCCCCTCATTGTACTTTACTTTCATAACGAGATTATTCTTTTTATTTTCCTAATAAGGAGAACCAGCACAAGTGACTATGGATATTACAGCACAAAGTGTAGCAAATGATATAGCCTCAAATTCACCCATGGTAGCATCCACTTCCATAATTGGAGAAAGGTCTTCAAGAGGACAAGATCAAGAACTAGGAGGCAACATGGGTGTAGTGAATCCTATTCTCACCCTAGAAAACTTCTCAAGTTCTGGTTTCTCATTTCCTCAACCAGTGGTAGCATCCACTTCTGCAACCAGAGGACTAGCTCCAGAACTTATTGGCAATGTGGGTGTAGTGAACCCTATTCCCACCTCAGAAAACAATTCAAATTCTAGATGGCAACACCCTAGTGGTGGGAATAACACTATAGACGGATTAGGAACTCATGATCCACTTCCACTTGATCCTCCACAAGTTGGTGCTTCACTTGGAAATTCCATGTTTCCTAATTCAATGGAAAACTCGCTCAATCAATTTCAGTCAACCATGTTACCAAGCTTTCCGATGCTTCCTTATAGTGGTGGTGCCAGTAGTAGCAGTGATAGTCACCAACAATTTCAAAGACATCATCCATTTGAAATAACTGAGTTGGGTCCATTAGGTACACCTACAATGAGATACTATGCTCAACAAAAAGATCACAGAAATATTTTGCATCCACCACCTCTCATGGATGTTCAAGGCTATGTGAAAACATGGGAGGTAAAATAAGTTGACTCAATCTTGGTAAATGCATGACCAACATAATATACTATGATAATTTCAAAAAAAAAAAAAAAAAAAAGGAATTGGAAGGTATATTGCGAACTACATTCATAAGTGAATTTATTTGTCTCAATGGCTTCCCAGTTCCTTGGTTGAAGCCTTATTTGAAATTGCTTAAAGAAAAACAAACATTTTAAGATAAAAGGAGAAGCGATAAACCATTTGTTCCTTTATATTTGTTTGGATAATTAACATGTTATTATGTTCGTGTAATGTTAACATTAATTATTTATCATTTTTAAATATATTATTAGATAAAAACATATCGCATGTGGTTAGAGATAAATTACTTTGATATGTTAAATTTGGTAATATCTATCAATGTTGTTTATAAAGATGCTTTGTGATGAATATTCTCTTGTGCATCTAGGGATGTTTGGTCGGAAGAGATGACTACTCGTATCGTGCATCTTTTAATCAAGCAGGGGTATGATATATTTAATTTATTGTAGAAAAATATTTCTCGCTTAGAATGTCTAATTTGATGGATGAAATATGTCAGAAGGGACTTCTATTTTGATCCTATTTTTTATTTTTGCAACATGCATTATAACAACTATGAGAATTAAATATAATAACTGAAATTTTCTATCTATTTTCCCTTTGATACAGGTCATGATCAAACCAACATCACCCTCCTCGTAAGTGGTTTCTCTTGTGCAATCCTAAGTTTTCTTAAAAGTTTTGGTGTTACTAGATATCATTCAACATGTGTCAAACTCTATGGATCTTAGTTTGAGCACGTCTTGTTCAATCAAAGCCTGATCACATACTCATCAAAAAAATTGTTTTGCTTGTAAACAAAAATAAAAGTGTTTAAATGTGCTTATACTTTTAATTCTCATTGCAGACTCACTTCTGCATGGTCGAGTAGGCTAGAGATCGTCATCTTCATACCCAAAAATGCTGTCAACTATACATTGAAGTAATTTTATGATACGATGTTATTGTTGACTTTTTAAGTAAACATTACCTTTTGTGATGAAATCTTATTATATTTTTTAATAACATTTGAACTTAGGATTATTGGTGGACCTATAGATTATGTGTTCTTTCACACAACTGAATTCAACAACCTTGACTTGTATCACCATCTGATGAGCAAAAATTTGGTGAGTCATAACGACCATGTTAAGTTTTCACATAAGATCTTTTTCCTATTTGCTGTTGAGTGAATAGATTTATTTTGGTGAATATAAATGTTTTCTTTTATGTATATAAGAATCATTTTGACGTTGCATTTTTGTGCAGTGTGCAAAAATCGAATTACCTACACAGACTATTATCCTATCTACAACGGAAAGCAAATATCACTTCTTAGGAATAATTTTCCCAGCGGTGAGTGTGATGTCAATTTTACTTCAATTCACATTATTTTATAATTATCAATGTCTTTTGATCCAATATTTTTTTTCTGGGCCTTTTTCAACATTGAAATTTGACTTAAACAGGATACAATATTTATTGAACTTGCATAAGTATGACTTTCAAGAGCCAGAGCAGCCCCAAGTAATGAACAAAAGGTTATAAGTGTTGCATGTTGTGAGCTAGAAGGGCATGAAACCAGATGGAAGAGAAAGATATCAATCATGAGAACATGCTATAGAATTAATTGTTCAGGATTTATCTAAATTTTATTATGTTTTGTTTTATTTTTGTATTTATGGGTTTTGTCATATAGTACCCATTTAAGTGAACAAACTTGGTATTTTGGTGTGTTTTTGTTATATGTACATATAGATTTATGACATTAATATGGTTTTTAAGTACAATTGTTCTTGCGCAATTCTTGAGTAGGAGGACTTCTTCCTTTGATTTTTTGTGTAGTCTTCAATTATCTTCAGTTTTGAATCATTGAAGCATGGAATTGATTTGATTTGAAATAGAATAAATGTATTGTCTAACAAAATAAATCGATCAAAACCCACTTAATCACCATGTCGGTCAAACGTAGTTCATTTATTTTTCAAAGGATTGTTTTAGGATTTGTGTTTAATAGTATATGTTCATTGATTTGGAATTTTGGATGTTGCATTGGCCCAATTTTTAGTATAAATGGGTGATTAGATATCTTTACTTTTTTTACTTACGAAAACATAAATTCTTCATGTCTCTTCACACATTTTTTTTTCCTTCTTTTTCTACATGTTTAGCTTTTATTATGTTTAATTTTTAGCATTATTATTGTTCTCATCCAATTACATACACACATATATATATATATATATAATAAGTTTATTTGTCTTAGAGAAATCTCTCACTAAAACTCAAAGAATCATAAATTCAACCTTTATATACTTGTCGACCTAAGCAGATATGAACATGTCAAAACTTTATATGTTGTTGGTGATTTATCGTTTATTCCATGATTCTTCAACTCTCCTATTGATGTTAATTATAATTTTTGATAGTTAATTTGGTGTTATGAACCCACTTGATATGATTTGAGTTATCCATGGAATCATAAAAGAATGCATTTTAGAAATTGTACGAGGAGATGTTATGAATATGCAATTATTCGAAATTGAGATTAAATTTGAGTAATTGATGGTATAATAGAGTAATATTAGTCTTTAATTTATATTTTTACTAATTGGATTGGAAGAAGAGAGTTTGGATATGAGTTGTGCCAAGTTCTGAAAATTCTGATAAGAACATACCTTGGTATTTATGTAATTTCTCTATGTGTGATTAATGAAATTGAGTTTCGATTACTGGGTTAGAAAGTATACATTTTAGGCTATAACTTAGACTCAAGAATCATATAAAAATATTAAGGAATGATCGAGTAATGTGAGTTAAAAGATGAACCTCATATTCTGTGTGCAAAATGTAATGTGTGAAAATTGTAAGTCATTCGAGTATACCTAAATGGTAGAATTAGGTTTTCTAATCTTCATAAAAGTTGTAGTGTTGGATGTTATCTTTCAAATTTTGTTGGAATCACCTAAAAAAGATGTCTAAAACACAAGTTATGATCAAATTAGTGAGCGGAGGTCAAGCTGTCAGATTTGGGCTAAAATGTTATGATTTTGTATTTTATAAAAATAGTAGATAGAATAATTAACTTTTGAGGTCAACATAGAAATTTGATATAATTGTCTTATCTTTATAATAAAATTAAGATCAAATTGATATCATATATATAGTTTTATATAGGACGTTTGGATCACACAATATCTTAGAAGGTTAAGTTGTGAAAATGTAATTTGTGAATGAGGATGATAAATAGTTTTACCCTTTAAATGTTTGATCTTATAAATGGTTTGAGGTGCTTATATTAATGTTAAGGAAGGATGAATTATGGTATAAAACAATTGTTAATAAGTTATGATGTAAATTGATTGTTAATAACTTGAGATATTTTAATAATAGCGATGTCTAAGGACTTAATATGTGATAGTGATAAAATTGCTAGACTAGTTAAGCTATTGATTTAAATTCTTACTGACATTCATATAGTTGATGTATATAGATCATGTGAAGGTCATATGGTGAGAAGTCTAAACGAGGCTTAGCCATGATATTGATAAAAATGTGTGATATGTTATGGTATGAGATCATGTGAAATGTTATGCATAAATTTTGTTTGACATGCATCATATGCATAAAAGTGTTTTTATAGGTACGATATGGAATACACCATCAAGGAAGGGTCCCTTGTTTAAAAGCTTGGGGGTCAATCCTTAGGGATAGCTTGTTTTGGAAGTCTTAGTCTCATCCTTTGTGTGCATAGGATGTATCTTGTGCAGCTCAACTATCTTGACCAAACCCTAGTAATATATCCTCCTAGTGAGAGTGTGTTAAGGGTGTGACCCGATATGTATTCTTAGACTACTCTACGGGTATTGCTAATGACAATACACAATGTGATATGTGATGTTTTTACCGGTGTCACATGCATGATAACATATCCATTGCATAATGCATCTTAATGTTATGTGGTATTTGATTATTATGTCATGAAGGGTGAAATAAGTTATTGTTATCAATCTGTCTATGTTGTCTATATATTTGTATGTTTTGTTTGTGTTTGACTATCTAGTTATATCTTACATCATGGTTTATAGTAAGATGTTTCTCATTTTCCTTGCTTTGTGTTTGTCTCTATTGTATGTTCTTGTAGGTGATTTACATCATGAGGTTGAAGATGTTGCCGGTGAAGCCTAGTCCTTACAATTGAATTTATGCTATGATGTGATATCGAGACTTAGTTAAGAATTATTTTCTTTTGTCATGTTTTGAAATAATTATTAGTTTTCTTGTAATGGATTTCATTTAGATATTAGTTGATTTTATTTTGTTAAAATGCAATACTCTTTATATTGAACATTATGAATTTTTATTATGATAAAATTCTTGATTTATTTTTATTTATTTCAAGTATTATGGTATGTGAGGTAAAAGGTGTCACACTTTCAACATATTTTCTTATATATTTTTATAAAGTATATAAAATGTATTTATAAAGTATATTATTAAAATATTAAAATTAAATGATTATTATTCAAATATTTCTTAAAGTATAATTTTAAAACACTTATATATATATATATATAATAATAATTTTCATAAAGGAAAAATCTAAAATAAAAACAATTCACCTCATATATTAAACACAAACAATTATCTTGTACAAGAACATTTTTAGGACTTTTCTATAACTAGAGTGTTTTATGTGTTTTTCTTTAATGAGAGTTTATATGAAGTTTTTAAATTTCTTATGAAATTTAATTTTTATTTGTGATTTTTATTTATAAATTAAATTTTAATATTTTATAAATAATCAAAAATTAAAAATAATCTTGTGTCACAATATAAATTATTTATCATAAATTTAAATTTGTTATTATATATTAAATATGCATAGAAGATTAACTTATTTAATGAAAACAGTTTTAGATGTTTTTCTTTTATGAAAAGGTTTATCCATGCTAAGTGAGGAAGAGAAGTGGTCTCACACTTACTTTTATACAAAACATTTTTTTTATAATTTATATCAATGTTTTATAAATCAAATCAATCATCAAATCGATCAAGATATTAAGTTAATGTGTCAAAGGTCAAACAATTCCGTCTTTATTAATTTTTTTAAAAAAATATTAATTTTTTATACATTTATTATTATAAATTACTATAAAATTCATATGAAATCATACTTTAAACAAGTCCCAAAAAATTGTATTCAATATAAATTGACAAAATGACAAACTATAGATTAGTTGAATTGTATAAATTAATATATATATATATATATAAATATATATTTAAAAAGTATGAAATCTAGATGTAATATAAATTATATTAATAAAATTTGCATGTGGCTTACAGTAACATCCATTGGTTTAGTGGCTCATGGAAATGTAATAAGGCTAATATTCTTAGGGACTGCATATAGCAGGTTGTTGACTTCATATTTAATCCAAAAACATTAATTAAAATATACTTGTATATTGTTAAGAGTGTTTTTTAATTAAAGTATTTGCAATCGTTACAAATTTACTTGTATATTGTTTTAATGTATTGTTTATCTTTGTCATGTTTTCACACATTAAAAAAACAGAAAAAAAAATCTCTTGAACTTAACATATCTTTATTTTTCTTGTAAATCAAAATTTTCATTAAACCCAACTTATCCGGTTCATTAAAAAAGCAGACTTTGCAAATCAAAGCTTAAATGAACCGGACTGATTAGTGTAACCCCTCCCTCAATTATCATCTTTACCTGTTAGAAAGGAAATACCTCTTTTAGATTATTTTATCCTTAAATTTTTAAATAATAAAAAATAATGTTAAAAATTAACTAAACCTAAAACTTGAATCTAAAAATTTAAGATTCAAAATTCACCAATCATTCGTAAATATGGAACGCTGCAGACGGGTTCCAATATGTTAACAGCCAAATGGCAGTGCATTCCCGTAAGAACTAGAACGGAAAAATGAGCTCATTAATTTATTATGGGGAAAATTTTACATTTTACATCAAATTTACATAGCAATTTGCCGAAAGGGGGGTGTGGAGAGTACAATGGAGAACTCAGCAGAGACTTATTTACAGTAACATGGTGGGGTAATTACTACATAACCCGAGCGATCATCAACACGTTTCCTTTTTTCCAATTTTGAATGAATCCAGATTTAGTATAAGGAATGGCAACTCCTCGTATTCAACTAAGCAACAGCAACATGATAGTTTCAAGATCAACGACTCACGAGCCAACCTGGTTTAATTAGTATGTCTTCCTTAAAATTGCGGCCTGAGACAGACACTGACTCACCTTGACGCCGATAACACTACAAAAGATTTTAGAAGCACGGGTGAGAAAATCCAATTCTTAAAATACTGCTAGAAAAAGAAGGGTAAATAAACAAAATCTTGGCCAACGTGAAATATTAATCAATTAAGTCTTAAAAGAATAGAAAAAAACAAACTATCCCTAGACCCATTATAATTAGCGAGAATAATCAATCCCTCTCATAGAAAACCTAGCATGCATGCACACAAGTGCAGAAATACAAACAAGGAGTGCTTTAAACATAATTTTCTTGCTTGTTTGTTATCTTAAAAAGATTAATAACAGAAAAGATGGATTGGAGCCAATAAAAATTACTTGAATTGTTAAACTTGAACAAATTTCTACAAAGTAATGGAGAAATAAGTTTCGCATCTATATCATTTTCTTTGTTGCAAAGGAATGCTGATCATGAAGCGACCTAAATGGTCTGGTTGGATAAATTTCTCAAAAATTACCTTTAATAAGAAAAATAAAAAAGAAAAATAAAATAAGTTTTTTTACAAGGTAAAATTAACTTATACATAAGTTAATCTATTGAAATTCTCTCCTATTAGTTTCTTTAAAATCTTATTCTTAATTTGTACATAAATTAATTTTAACTTAAGAGAAACTTATTTCAATTTTCTTTCTTTCTTTTTTTTCTCCTAAAACTGCTTTTGGAGAAACAGGCCCAAAATCAAACACGTTTGGAGACATGAATGTCTGGGACAATAGTCTTATTAAAGGCGACTTTAGAGCTCGAGCAACTAACCTTGTAACATACTACGGTGTCATCAGGATACATTGCAAATAGCTTCGTACCAAGGCGTGCATTACAGGAATCACAGAGACTCTCATCATTAATTTGCACATGCCTTGACCTTTCTTCCAATCTTGACAATCTTGCATCAATGTCCACGGCACGAGATAAATTATGCACAATCTGAAAGGATATTACTAAGATTACAAACCCATAATACTTGGTTGACTACAGAAAGAAGCAATCAACCTCAAAATGCCAGACTATGGAGCGTAAAGGAAAAAGAATCTTGGGAAGATTGCATATAGAAATTATTTCGACTTCTGGAATAACTATGAAATTGGTGGTTAAACATCCATATAAACTGGTGATACCGTAAAGATTATGCCTAAAGGATCACATTAAAATAAGCCGTATACATTGTTCCAATAGTATTTAAAAAAATTTATAGTTTCCAAAATCTTGTGGAATGCTCTCAAAATCTCACTTCGAGCGAAAAAGTTTCATAACTGAGGATTACTCATTATTCTTGATAACAACCACTACACTGAGTTGTGTTTTATTCTTTTTTTCCTTTGTTAAATAGAAAGAAAATATCCGAGGTAATGACACTATGAATCATGGAAAAACGTTGAAATACCTGTCCTTGACGATGATGATGAACTCTGGCCCTGAACATTCTTAGTAATGTCTCAGAAGCAAGTTGAAGCGGCATATCTGGAGACAGTTTCTGCATTATAAAACCAAAACTTTTAGTGAGAAATTCCATAATTAAGAACCAAAATTCAGTGGAATGAATTCAATTAAGTTAAAAGAAAAAGAAAGTGACAATCTGCAAGTTATTAGATACAGTCCTTTAATTGCACAAAGATACATCGAACACTAACAATTATACTCAGGTATTTATGGGTTGTTTAATATTGCTAAATTTGCATGGTCAAGCAGTTCACATTTTCTCTTCTGGTGGCTAACTTGTGATGTTAATCTTTTGATAATAAGAACATGTGTAAGTTGGTTCAGTTATCATATACATCACATCAGAGAACTCAATTAGCTTCTCGCTGAGCAACCAAAGCCCTCTATGGCTCCTCGCTTAGCAAGCACAAATTCGCTGAGTGGCTCAGACTCTTTGCGGGTCCTCTGGCTAATTACATCACAATCTAAACAATTCAACTCAAAAATTCCATCAACTCAAGCAGCATGTAATAAATCAAGACTATTCAAACAACACACTTATATCAGCTCAAGTTTATCATCAATAGTCATCATTTATTATACATTATAACATATATGAGCAACTTATATCATAAATGCATTAAACATCTTTTAAGTCCCTAAATACGCTCAGCCTAGAAAATTTGGCCCATCCAATTGGCCCTCACCTCAAATTCATCTAGCCATTTAAGAATAAGATAGACATCAAGAATAAACTACATTGAATCAAATGAGAAGTCAAAAAAGAAATCTTAGAATATCTAACTGTCTCATTGGATTGTATCTTGGATGATCTTTTAGGAGTAATATAAATATTTCATTATATTTTCCTGACTTGTTTAATCATTTAATTAGGTTAGGAATACTTTAGGAGTTTTAAATAGGAATTAATGTTTCATATCATGCCAATGAACACAACAGAATATCATTCATAATCTTTTTTTATCAACTTTTCTCCTCTATCCTTAATAGAGTATTAGAGAGTTCTTCTCCTTTGGTTGTAAGCTGGGTGGCTGTTTGCCACATCAGCATAGTTAGTTAGACTGTTTGTTAGCTTTTCTATAAGCTGATGGCTGTTGCCACATCAGCATAACTACTTGGCTTCTTCTGAACTCTTTCCTTGGAACTAAATAATCTGATCTCTTCATTGAAGATTTCAGAATATCAATAATAACAGAATCAGTTTTTCTTGCTCTCTTTCTTTTCTCTGAAATTCTACAATCCTAAATCCCTATTATTCCCACATTCCTTTGAAACCCATGCAGTCAACATTCCACTGCCCAAGAACTCTACTGGACGATGTTGTTAACTCCATTATTTTTTGTAGGCAAATATTAGTAATCAATATGTTATGTTATGTTGTTAACTCCATGATTATTTTCTTTCCATTGGCCAACCACCAATTCCAACCAACAAAATCCAAGACCAACATCACTTTCTTTTGTCATTGCCCTTAGCTCCATGTCCAAATCGGCTACATCTTGAAGTTGCACCATTGCTGATGTTTTGACTTGATGCCATGAGTTCACTAGAATATGGCCTTTTAACTCGTCCACATGCATGAAGTTCTCTTTCCAGTCACCATCTCCTCAACTTACCTTGATAGGGCTAATCTGATGACACCCTGCCTTTGTCATCTTGGGCTGCACCCTCCAAAGGGTGTTTGGCAGCATTTTCTGATCAGATGTCTCCTATTCAGTACACCTAATTGCCTGTTTTTGGGTCTAATGCCTCTTGTTTTTGGCCTTTTATTGGGGTATTTGTTCTTCCATCATCTTTAGGGACAAGAGGTGAAGGAACCCAGTAATGACTGGTGTGGGGACAGCTTGTGGGAAAACTCCTGTTTTACTTTTGTTTAATAAGGTGTAGCTCCTTCCCACCAAGTTGGTCCCTATAAAGATAATGTAGTACCTTCAATCACGATTTCATGCTCAAGACAGGATATTCAACTATGTTGTCCTCTTTTAAAAATAATAGTGAATTTGATTGGTTTATTCAATTTGTTGTTTAAATGTTATGTCGAGTATTATTCCAATTTGTTATGTTGAATATTTGGGATAGTTGGCCCTTGACAATAACTTTTGGAAAGGGAGAAGGGATAATACAACCCTTCAATCCTAACCAAAGGCCCAACAAGTTTAAAACTTGATGGTCTTATAAGGGGTAATCTTTTATTTACGTTAATAATCATTTTAGTTTTTAAGTGCATATCTATACACATATTTTGATGCTGGCAGACCCCTTCTTTCACTGCAGCGAAGGATGCAAAACATGTACTTTTTGCAGTAGAAACTAATGTTGCAAGTAATTTGCTTCAAAATATATGGTAATAGAGTAAGTTTAATACCTCTAAAACTTGCAATGGATCTAATGATTCTCCATGATTATGGAGAAGGCGAACAGCAGCAGTAAACATGGGATCCTTGCCATCTTGTGGATCCAAATACATTTCAAGCAACCTGAGCACATAAAAAAGCATCTAAAAAAAATTTGCTAAACCATAGCATAAATAAAAAATATTAAAAGCATAATCGGAGACAAACTGCATGTATGCATCAGCTCTTCCAATCTCAGCACAATACTGCTCAGCAGCTTCACTGTCTTCCAGTTTCCTGGGAGCCAACACATAATAATAATAAATAAATAAATATAATAATAATAATAATATTTGGGGCATGCATATTTTGAACGATCCAACAATGAAACTGTATGATGAACATATTGTGGAATGTGGATAGCTGAACAGCTTCTTGTCAATCTAAAACTGAGGAGAATGTTGTTAGTAGTGCAATTTAGATCAACATTTTCTGTATTCTCTTATGCAAGTCTGTTTGCATGTCATCCCACTTGATGATGACTGAGCTAATTTATGTTGGAAAGATGTGAGCTTGAATTTTGAAGTTCTTGACTTGTTTAGCATTAAGACCTTGTTTGCTCATTTATGTATGAGTTTAATTTGTATCAGTTTCGACTTTCAAGAAAATTTAAATGAAAGTTAATGCAATTTTGAAGCTAATTAGTCACTTACAAAGCCAAAATTTGGAGGACCAAAGTCTCCTGCCCCAGTCTTCTATACAGAATAGCCTGTAAAGTAAAGCCAAATTAATAAAAGAAAAAGTAAAGAATGATAAGCATCCTTTTGAACATAAGGGAGTTTTTCACCAAACCTCCCAAAGAGTCTCTGATCAAAAAGGACCATTAGTAGCACATATGCGGATATGCCCACATCAGATAAACAGAGCTTATGATAACAGTCAGAAATTGTAAAATAACCTTTTCAAACCACAATTCTGATCCTTCAATCAAGTCAAGAACTTCTTCTGGATCATACAAATCTGAGGATTGCAAAAATATCTGCAATCTTTCC